CATACTGTTTCCCACCACGCTAAAGTTTGCTTTGCTGGTGGTCGGTCCGGTTGTTTCGTCACTTGTTTTAACACCAGAGAGTCGCAATCTCGATCCGTTTTTCAAACCCAGGTTTAAACCACCAGACTCTTTCCACGCCTGCCAACATTGGGTTAAAAACGACTCCTGCTTTTCTGTCTCCTTGTTCTGAACAATGATGATGAAGGAATGTGCAGTCGTTAAATGGCCCGACCGCATTTCTTCTGATAATGGATCACAATAATGCGCCCACTTGTTCATGTTTCGCATGACTCCCGACACGTTATACCAGTTAATGTCGAACCTGTCTGTAGTACTGTCATAGGTCACGTGTAGAACCGTATCAAACACCTGAAACCGTATCCACTGCTTTGTTTTTTCTTCAACACAAATTTTGAACAGAACGTCCCAGGTCGAATCATACTCAATATCTGAGCCGTCAGCGTGTTTTACGTTGGTTCCACTGAGCTCGACTTCTAAGTTTTCTGTGATCAGAAAAGCATTTTTGTGCAGACATACCACATTGTTGTACGTTAGATCTAAGATTTCCAAATCTTTCAGATATTGAAACGCGTCAGATGGAATAGTTCTGATGTTGTTTCTACTGAGGAACAGATCTCGTAATCTTACAAGTCCAATAAACCATTCACTACGGACGTCTTGCAACATGTTACCCTGTAAGTAAAGTGTATCAAGGTTGTCTAGATTTTCGAAACACCCGGGGTCTAAGCTGGCGATTCTATTGTAAGATATTGAAAGTCTTCTGAGGCCGTATTTGTCGCGTGGTTTTGAACCGATGTACCAGTGTTTGGGAATGTGTCTTAACATGTTATAATCTATCTGTAACATCTGTAACTCAGAGAAGTCTTTAAATGTAGCATGATCTAGTTCGGTTATGCCGGCATGTATGAGGGAAAGAGTTGCAAGTGAAGAGTTGTCGATCATTTCCAGTTTTTGCGATGATAGTATTCCGTATTGTAGCCCTCTCAGCACAAGCGTCGCCATACCCGAAAAACATTTGCCTTCGTGGCTACCTGCCGTTTCTGCAGAGTGGTTGCGAGCATTGTGACATTGTACACACACATGTCGCCCCCAGTCTGAGCCGCGGCTAGTGTGAAAAACACCAGCCCTTTCCATACTAGTGCCAGGCAAGCACGATTTCCACTCAGCTTTCCTTTCACATGTAGAAAAACAGTTCTGATCTGCTGAGACCAAAGCTACAATCACCAAAGCTACAATAATCAAAACCATACAGGTAAACTGAAATCTCGACTTCATTTTGGGAGCTATATTTTTCTTGAAATAATTTTGCAGGTTCTCTTCAACATTTAAAGTGTCTTAAAGTTTGTCATTGTAATTTTGAACCAGTACTTCAATTTTTCAAAGCGTCTTGATACTTTTGTGCCCTTGTAAGCAGGTACAAGTACTGAGTGGTTTTGTATTATGGTTCAAGTTCTCATTTGCTTTTGCAACACTATAAGCTAAACGTCTTCAGAGAGCCACCAAAACCCTGTCTCTCTGTTTAGTGAAACAGAACGATAACAGTTGACACCGTGAAGGATGTTGTTTTGAGTGTCTGTCGCTGAGAGAATTACCTTCTGAAGCTGCGTTCTCCAGACCGGGAGCTGGATGTTTGGGCGGCGGGCCTCCCTGCCGAGTCGCCCGAGGGATCAGAGAGGAGGTTCCGGTGGCTGGAATGGTACGGTTCAGTCTGCAAAGTGAACAGAAGCGAACAGAAAAGTATCTTTCCAGATGTCTTCTGCGACCAAACTGTTTGATCGGCAAGTTCGAATTCTTTTCTATATATGAACGGGAGTAGAACCTCTAACGGGGTATCTTCCTTTGAAAGGGCTGTGATATACATAGACAATAAACCAATCAAACAGGTATGTAACACACGATTTCTAGGAGTCCTTATTGATGAGAAACTCACATGGAAGTTTCATATTTACCTTATTTGTAAACAAATCTATAAGAATATTGGTATAATAAGAAAAGTTGCAAGTTTCCTATCACGTAAAATATTTATCACTCTGTACTATACTTTGATTTATCCCTACTTAACATACTGTAATATAGTCTGGGCTAGTACGTACACTACTTCAATCCGTCCGCTGCATCAGCTGCAGAAGCGCTTTGTTAGGATCGCGTCTAATGTTCCATTTTTTGCTAACTCTGCGGTTCTATTTTACAACTTGAAAACTTTAACAGTGTATGACATAAATAAACTCCAAACAGCAATTTTTGTCCATAAAGTTTTACACAAAAGTTCACAATTACCAGTTCAATTTCAGGACATATTTCAATACAACTCAGATATCCACAGTTAGAGTACTAGAAAGCAAAATGATTTAAGGCCAATCCTGACAAAATCAAATATGAAACAGTTCACGATATTGTTTAGAGGCCCCTTAATTTGGAACAGTTTAAGTCACTCACAGCAAAATTGTCAATCCCTTCCAACTTTCAAAAGACATTTAAAAACTGATCTGATAGAGAAGCCAACTACCACTTCCTGATTTGCTTTTGTTTTCCTTGTTTTTTTTATGCTATGATATTTTCTTTGTGTTAATATTGGTTTCTTATGTTGTTCTTACTCATAATAACTTATGATTTGACTAATGGAAATTTATTTTTTTGTTCAATATGATATGTTCTTGATTGTCTTACTTTATTGTTTAGATATTTAATTCGCCGTGTTATCTTTATATTATCTTGTAACTATTTTGAGTTAATTTGTTTGCTTATCCCTTAATACATTGCAAGTTAAATGTAAATGTAATAAATGTATGTAAATAAGAGATCGTAAAACTAATAGGATTTGGGAGAGTCCACTAGACAAACCTTCAGGTTTCTTGGGCTCTCCAGCATATATTTGCTTGTATATAATTTCATTTTATACTGTTACTTTTTTATGTGCAAATTGACAATAAACAATAAACAATCTTACCTGCGAACAGCAGTGTGGACGGCGAAACTAATGAAGCCAGGCGCTGCCGGGGCTTGTTGTATCTTCTCTGCTCAGACTAATGAACAGGCCAGACTGATAACTTCCCTCAGAACATCCGGATTAACATACACACGCACACAGGATGGCCTGAGGAAAGCCGGCGGTGCTGGAGGCTACTGTATACGTAGTCAAATAAACCCATTTAACAACATAAAGTAATACACAGAAGGTAAGCAGGCATATGAGGACATCTATGAAGTAAATCTCTACACAAAAACTAGAGTAATGTTGACATTGCCTGTGTATGTATAAACTAACTCACAAACACCCTGGGTTTTGAAATAAATTTCCAACATTCGATTGTCTGCCATTGAAACATACAGCACGTCCCCTCAAGGCCTGCCGGATATGATAGCTTCTTGCTTGGGTTGAGAACGGATTTTCATTTTCTTATTGACTTTCTCGTTTCCGAATGTTTATGTTGACGCTTTTTCTTCAAGAGATCAAAGTATCTAACAACGTTTCTTGATTTTGAGGACTATGAAACACATTTATGTTTGCAAGCTCCAGACCAATGTCACACGTGCGTTCCATGATCCACTGAGTATCATTTATGATCGAGGGCAGAGGAAGACAGGGAGTGCCCTTAAGGTTTAACGGATATAACACGTGCATTAATATACTCCTTTCATGTCCTACTCAGATATCAGTGTACGTCGGAAAATTCATTTATGAATCCCTTGTAACAAAAGCGACACCATATTGTAAATAGCTGATATATCCCCTGAATTACAGAAAGTAATAATACTCTTCCTAAGAAAACGCAATAGATTTAGCTTTAGTATCATAAATGGACTAGCTCGTTAGAATCATATTTTAGTATTAGTTTATGTATGTACAAGTTGTTTCTTTGCCATACATTGTACCAGCTACAGTTGTTGAGCAATAAAGTTGATTTGATTTGAATTTGTATATCAGCTATTCTCTAGATAGACTGCTATGCAGTATTCTACATGGAGTCATTACCTTCTGCTCAGTTAATACTATTCTATAACACAGCCATTTTGATGGTCAACCTTATTTAATCTAATTACACAAATGTAAGTGACACTATGTAAACTGGATAGTTTGACATTCCTAATCAAGCTATTTTATATTTGAACTTTTGTACCTATTTTGCCTTCTTTAAAAGAGAACTTAATTGGATAGGACTTTTTCTTTTAATTTGCGGAGAGGATGTAGGACTCGGGAGCTATAATAGGTTTGGTAACCAGGCTATTAGTTGTCTACCTCTGATTAAGACACAGCTAGTCTTCCAAGAGAGAATATGATAGTCGACATAGTTTCAGGAAATGATACATAGTGCCATTACAAGTATAATCACAATGTTCAGCTTCAACCATTTATCTCATTTTTATTTCAGAAAAGGATGTTCAAAAACGGTGAAAACTACTTTCACTCTTTTCACAACTACTTCACTACATACACCGATACAGACCCTAATACTTCTTATTCCAGTGACTGTAGTATTCTAGTGAATTACTAAAAGAATGTACTGAAGATTACTTTGTTATGGTAAAGATGACTTATTTGTACTAAAGCCGTTATCACTAATATCACGGTATTAAAAAAAGTTGAATTTACTATACTATCACAACTAAATGAATATGGTAACCATCATACCAGTTAACAAACTTTGTGACCCGTACACAATTTGCTACAGCTGTCTACTAATTTCTATTGAGTCCACGTTGTTGTCTGTTGTCAAACATCAATCGTTCCTTAGAAATAATATCAAAATATTTTTATACGTTGACAAATATTAATATATAGTAATTCGAGTATTCTCATTATGATGCCTTCTGTTGTGATTATAACTTCGTTTTGTGGCTATATAAAGTTACATACTTGCAGGAAGTGAGTCTACTCACACAGTTACTGGGAGTATACATAACCACTTAGGGTCTGTCACAACAAGATTCCAGCCAAGGTTCCTGTTCCGGGTCAGTTGCAGTACGTCAGATCATCGCTTTGACTGTGTCAATACCGACCAGGTAGTCAGGGGGGCTACTTGGTGACACTTCACTACGCACGTAAACACGACCTTATTCACGTGACATGCTATCCTGTGGTTCATTGTAACAGCACAACACAAGAGCACGCGTACAGGTGTTACTCTGACTTCAACCTAGTAATTTGTATAAAAATGGCAGCAGGTTTTTCATGCGTCATGACGTTCCTGGTGACGTTTGTGTTCCTGTGTTCTGGTCAGTCTGTCTGCAAGCCACCGCCGGAGGAGAAATGTTCGTGTAACCAGGTAGTGAACGTCGGTCCCGACGAAGGATTGAAATTTGAACTGGATCGTCTGAAAATCGTCGTGGACCAACTTTCACAGAAGATAGCAAATTGGTCAGAAGGTATGTCAGCAGTTACACCACTGTAGTAAGATTATGGAACATACGTAACAATACACTTACAGATAATGGATCATTTTGAGGAATTTCTTATTTTGACTGATAAACAATATGGGTTCAGGAAAAATCGTTCATGTGAATCACAGCTCATCAACAAACGACCTAGCCCGTTCTCTAGACTCTAAATCTCAAACTGACATGATTATAACAGACTTTGCCAAAGCTTTTGACAAAGTTCCCCATAACCGCTTGCTCCTAAAACTACAGACTTACGGGGTTAGAGGCAGGCTTCTGTTGTGGGTTTCAAATTTCCTTAAGAATAGAAAACAAAGAGTAGTAATTGGGGGGAGGGGGGCACTCAGAGTGGACAGAAGTAACATCTGCGGTACCCCAGGGTACTATATTAGGGCCCCTATTGTTCTTAGTTTACATGACCTCGCTGACAATCTTAAGTCCAGTGAATAGTGTTCCTGCTTCGTAAGACTGCTCCCGAACTCCAGTCAGCCTTGTTCGGTTGGTTGACGGTCGGGGGAAGGTTTTGAATGAATGAGCCTTGAATGTGTGACAGGGGCTAATGAGAGATCATGAAGTAAATACCTGTAAACACATTGAAGGGCTAAGTGAAATCGTGGCACACCAAGTTAAGGGCTATATAGTCTGAAATCCTGTAAACGTTGTGTGATCCAGAACATGTATAAACTCAAACCACGCGTTGCCTTCCGTAGATCGAGTATCGACCCTTGAGGAACAGCTGGCTCAGGAGCGAACCATTCGGGCAGAACTGGAAGGGAGGGTCAATGGTCTCCAGGAAGAGTTGGCACATGTGCAGAACACATCGGCCCAGCAGAATGGCCTTTCGGGAAAACTGAAAAACGACCTGTGCAGCGCAACACCCAAGCTGGGTATTACTTAGGCTGGGTAACAAGTAAACAAACAAAACAATGAAAGGCCGAGTGGCTTCCATGATTATACTTTTGTGACAACAGTAGAAATATAAATATATTTAAGATGAAATATTTTAAAATATATTTAAGACAAAAATGTATTTCTTCAGGGCCAGTTATATAGAAAAGTACCCACAGAATGACCTTACATGTATAGTCAAGTTGGTAGTCTCCTCGCAGACTGTGAGGAAGTGAGTCCACCTTCATAGGTAGTGAGGCATACCCACTTAGGACGTGCCATCACAAGCAGTCAGTGTGCAAGATTTCTGTTCTGGGTCCGTCGTATGTCAGACCATTCCGTCTCCTCACGAAAACTTCAAGTACTTCTCGCTGTTGAAATCTTGTCAATTTTTGTTTTCTGACAGGGCGGCTTTTCCAGGTCAGGTCACCGGCCGGTGACTACAAGTACGACTTAGATGAGGCAAGGCACGCATGCGCAGAGCAGGATGCAACCCTCGCCTCCTATGACCAGCTGTACCAGGCCTGGAAGGATGGGTTGGGTTACTGCTTATGCGGGTGGCTGTCGGACGAGACTGCCCGGTATCCAACGCAAATTCCCTCGTGGGTAAATGTTGTTATCCACGCATGCGCGTGATGCAAGTCCATTCACCTTTCAACTAAAAGGTGCCTTTAAAGAATCTTTCCACTGAGGGAACAAAATCGATGTTCGATAAATTAATCCCATTAATCCATGTGATAACCTTTTCCTTGTTTCTTTTCTACCGGTATACCCTAGGCCAGGCTGTGGCGTAGTTGGCATCAACGACTGCGGCTGGCTCACCCAGTACAACGCCTGGTGCTTCCGTGCGCTCAGCTTCTGTGGCTGACACAACATCACTGTCATGCCAAGTGGTTTCAAATGTAAATATTGAAATATTATATATTTGAATGACCTCTGGTCTCCTACTATACTGAGTTATATTGTTACTTTTCATACTGTCATTAGCCTAGGTTATGGATTGTAAGTATAAGAGATTTTTGTGATTTGTGACTTTATTATGTTATGATATGTGTATGTTTATGTATGTAACGTTATGTATGTCATAATACATATGAGGCCCGACATCAGCTCAGCTGCCAGGCCTTCCACTGTATTGCAGTGTTGGCAATTTAGATAAATAAAATAAATAAATAAACAAATGTGATGACCATAACATTGTAACTACGGTGTCAGTAACTTACACCGTGATTATAGCTTCGATACCTGCAAGATAACTGCATTGATCAGTAATACTTCTTCTCACCTTCTCACCCGGCCGCCTGTATGTAATACTGTACCTGATATAATCTCGGCTGTTGGTTGGATCAATACGTCTCACAATTGTATTGGAAACTCCCGGATCGAAAAAATAAAGAACACCGTGCTTCTCACGGTATTTCTTGTCTTGTTTTGAAAGTATGATTTTCTACTAGGCACTCACTGGACCAGATACGATACAAGCTATTTTATGTCTGAACTTTTGTACCTATTTTGCCTTCTTTAAAAGAGAACTTATAATTGGATAGGAGTTTTTCTTTAATTTGCGGAGAGGATGTAGGACTCGGGAGCTATAATAGGTTTGGTAACCAGGCTATTAGTTGTCTACCTATGATTAAGACACAGCTAGTCTTCCAAAAGACAATATGATAGTCGACATAGTTTCAGGAAATAATACATAGTGCCATTACATGTTCAAGTATAATCACAATGTTCAGCTTCAACCATTTATCTCATTTTTATTTCAAAAAAGAATTTTAGTCAAAAATCGTGAAAACTACTAGTAGTACTTTCACCCTTTTCACAACTATTTTACTACATACACTAGATACAGACCCTAATACTTTTTATTCCAGTGACTGTAGTATTCTAGTGAATTACTAAAAAAAGAATTGTCCATATACTGAATAGTACTTACTTACAATGTACTATTATATGGAGAAAATGAATTATTTGTACTAAAGCCGTTATCACTAATATCACGGTTTTGAAATTTAATCTACTATCACAACTAAATGAATATGGCAACCATCATACCAGTTAACAAACTTTGTGACCCGTACACTTTGCTACAGCTGTCTACCAATTTGTATTGAGTCCATGTTGTTATTAAAATCCTTTAAACAAATGAACTGTCTCGGCATATCAGTTGTTCCCATTTCATAGTCAAGGTGTCGGCTAGAGAGATAGGCATAAATTTCTTTTCATGAAACGAAAATAAAGTCTCAATGTTCAAGTGTAACCGTATGCAACAAGGGGCAAAATGTACATTCATTCCTATCTGTTGTCAAACATTAATCGTTACAGTATTTATCCTTAGAAATAATATCAAAATATTTCTAAACGTTGACAAATATTAATATATAGTAATTCGAGTATTCTCATTATGATGCCTTCTGTTATGATTATAACTTCGTTTGTGGCTATTTGCATACTGCTGGTAGGTATGAGTGTCATAAGAAGCCATGAAATTAAAAAGCCGCAAATATTTAATAAGTTCTCGTATTTTGTAATTAGAAACTTGGCCTTTGATGAATGAAGTGTTTTGTGTCACAACGTCTTGTGATTACATGTTTCGGAATAAAAAAAATGAAGTGTTTTTTGTTTTTGTTTAATGTTTGAAAATTTCCTTTTGTATCCTTTGAAACCGCGTTAACGCGTCGGAAGTAAAGGTTACCATCTGTCGTTTATGGAGTACTTTGTTTTTCTGCGGCTTTCGTGAAGGTATAAATACTGAGTCATGCTAAGGCATTGCGCGTCCACCCGTCATTTTGATAGTGAAGACAGCGTATCACAAGGTAAGGCCTATAGAGTTCCTCTCAGAATTTGGTACCGAAGAATTTGGTGCGAATCTAATGTCATTTTTTTCATTACCGGCAGTGCGCAAACGACGAAAGGTCTACGTAATTCCACATTGATCTTTTCGTTCGTTTTACAAGGATTGCATACTTGGAGTGTGGAGAGGCCGGCAGGTGGGAGGGTTGGTCTGGATCACAACCTTTTTCTCACCGTTTTAAAACGCTCTCTGGTCGCTTCCGTGCCCAAACGACAGGACCTGTACATATTCTGTAATCTGAAAAGTTGTTAAACCGGTACCCTAAATTGGTTGTGATTGGTGAATCTTGAAACGGCGCAGAACAAAAATGAAATTCATAAGAAATTGACACGTTCTTGACTCAGAGTTGGAAATTTTGCCTATCATTACCACATTTTGAAATGAAGTTAATTCTAGTTCAAGTTTACACCGTATCTGTGACAGGAAAATGTGCCTTTTTATCTTTTATGATGTAACTGAATTAGATACTCTAGCCCAATTAAAAAGACGCTGGTATTACTTTAAAACCACAACACGGGCTTTGTCACAGTTATCCCTTCTGATTATCTTTAATGATCGTGCACATATCATCCACGGTAACCACGTCCGTACCCTCCCTAGCCTCCTTCGCAGTCTTGTTGGGCGTCGGCGTTATTTTTTATCTGAGCGACGCGAGTAATATGCGGCCGCGAGGGACGATTTGCTGCCGAGGGAGTTTTTGCCACGGAGAGAAGGTTTCGTTGGACGCCCAACAAGACTGCGAAGGAGGCTAACCCTCCTCGTGTTTTCTCCTGCAGACCAACAGCTGACTGAGCAGATAAATTCCGAGTTGTGCAGCGCAACGCCAAAACTTGGTAAGAGCTATAAACGCTAACGTTAGAATCTTAGAGCCGAAGTTTTAGAAATTGCTCTCCATCTACGACAAGTTTATTTTACCGTATCACCTGAAAACTAGGTGTGGTAAGTATTTGAATGCAGTAGAGTGGCACTGGAAGGGGTGGTTTTGTAACCAAAGAGTGACCTTGAGGTCAAGTTGGGAGTTAAATGAACTGGGAGGAAATGAGTCTACTCACACAGTGATAATCTAATATAATATAATATACAAAAGACACAAATTTATTTACAAAAGATATACACAAAGTTAGAAAACAAAATACATCTAATATAACATAATATACAAAAGACAACCAACTAACAACAAAACAATCAGCAACAAACCAACAAACCAACCGACCAACAAACAAAAACCTACCAACCAACCAACCAACAAACCAAGAATGCAACTAACAACAAACCAACCAACCAACCAACCAACCAACCAACCAACCAACCAACCAAGCCAACAAACCAACCAACCAACCAACCAACAAATAAACAAACCAACAAACTAACAAACAAACAACTAACAAAGAAGCAAACCAACCAACTAACAAACCAACAACTAACAAAGAAACAAACCAAGTAAACCAACCAACAACCAACAAACAAACCGAAAAACCAACATCAAACCAACGAACACACAAACCAACCAACAAATCAAGAAACTAACCAACAAACCAACCCAAAAACCAACCAACAAACCAAGCCAAGAAACCAACAAACCAACAAACCATCCAACAAACCAAAAAACAAACCAAGCAATGGACCAACCAACAAACGACCCAACAAACAAATAAACCAACAAACCAACCAACAACGAACTAACAAACCAGTCGGTGTGATAAACTAAAATTTCTCATTCTTTCACAAATGTACACAAGATATAAATAATTTTGAAAAAAATATATCTCATATAACAGTTATTAGTATTTCATACAAAAGACACGTAAAATAATTTACAAAAGATATACACAATGTTGGAAAACAATACATCTAATATACCATAATATACCGAAGACACATAAAATTATTTTCAAAAGATATGCACAATGTTGGAAAACAATGATCTAACATAATATAATATACAAAAGACAAATATAAAATTATTTACAAATGATATACACAATGTTGGAGAACAATACATCTAATATACCATAATATACAAAAGCTACATATGAAATTATTTACAAAAGATATACACAAAGTAAGAAAAAAATACATCTAATATAACATAATATACAAAAGACACATATAAAATTATTTACAAAAGATATACACTATGTTGGAAAACAATAATCTAATATAACATAATATACAAAAGACATCCAACTAACCAACCAACAACAAACCAACCCACTAACAAACCAAGCCAAGAAACCAACCAACAAACAAACAAACAAAAAACCACCCAACAAACAAAAAACAAACTAAGCAA